TTAAAAAAAAAAAAAAATCATTAATTTCAGCAGTACATAGAAAGGAAACTGCCAGAAATTAAAAATCAGATTACTGGTATTTCTATCTATTATTGACTGAATTGGGTCCACAAAAATATGTGCTGTAAATCCAAACCACTTTGTGGTTATAATTCCATTTGGGAGGAGTTATCTTTGTTATTTTGATGGAGATGATTAGTATAGGCTGTGTTTTAGTCAATCTCTTTTTTTAAAATGCAAAAGAGATTAAACAAGTAAAGTAAAAGAGGCAGAGATGGGGAAGAGAGAAGTTCAGGAGGTGAAGCTCAAAAATGAAAAGGACCTTCTTCCAGAGCCAAAAAGAGCGCCTTCTCTGGAGCTAGCACTCTGAATTCAGACCTCTAGGCTTCTAAGTAATGAGAAAATAAATTTGTTACAGCTACCCATTGTGATATTTCTGTTTTAGCAGCACTAGATAACTGAGACAATATCTAAAATATTATAGCTACCTAATACAACAGCAAGGAGTACTAGTGTGGCACTGTAGGATCAGCACTGGACTGTTTTCCACAGGTCAATAGTTCAAACCCACCAGCCACTCCTTGGAAACTCTATAAAGAGTCGCTATGTGTCAGAATCAACTCAACACCTAACAACAATATAGCAGCATAGCACAATATAATAAATACATCAGCAAGCATCCACATGAATTATTTGTCAATAATATAGACTGCTGCCATGTAAGTGAACAGAAACACATGGGAATTTTTACCTTGTACATTAAGAACCATGTATAACGAGACATGAGCTCTAAAATATCACTGTGGTGATATATTCAAGTTCTGCATTATGCTAGGAAGTTCTGACTGATGATATGACAGCTCCATTTGACAAGTTTGGGAATAGTAACTATCATAACTGCTTTAAGTACACTTGTCATTTACAAGGTACATAAAAAAGAGTTGTTGTTCAGGGCCTTCGAGTCAGTTTGACTCACAGCAACCCTGTATAGGGTTTCCTAGGAGCAGCTGGTGGGTTTGAACCACCAATCTTTTAGTTAGCAGTCCAGTGCTTATCCTACAGTGACATACCAAAACTGTATCTAGTTCTAGTCTGACTGCCTTCCATTATATGTATCTACTCTGTCAAAATGGCCACTTGCCTTCCACTCCCCCATTCCTAGGATAAGGATAAGGATAAGGAAGGACAACTGAGCTCTTGTGTCAATTTCTGAATAAAACCTGAATCGCGCGAACTGGAGCGACGTTGCTACCTTCCTTGTTAATGGTACTTCTATGGGGACAGGAATCAGCTCTGCCAGGAGACATCCATAAAACGCAACCATGAACATCACAGGATCACTGTTCGGAAACACGAGCGCCACCTAGAACAGTGCCAAGAAAAACTATGAAATATCTTTCCAAATAATTTTAGCCATTTCAACTTTTAGAATTCTGTTAATTAGATGGAATTTAGAAATTTCTGATTTTCTTATAATTTTTCAAATTTAGTTTACAAAAACCTAATCTGGAGGTGGTTTTTTTTTTGGTTTCCTCATTCATGTAACTGTTAAACAGTTTTTAGATTGAGATTTTATTTCATATGCAAGAAAGATTTTAAATTTCTGGGTTTTAAATGATGGTCTAATACAGGTGACTGACATGCACTCACTATTATCCACTACCAACGTATAAAGGGAAGAACCAACAATATCTAAAATTGTCTTCCAAAAGAAAAAATCCTGACACCAAAGCGTCAATTGATAATATCTTCATTTAGACGTAAGTGTATTAATAGGAAGTGTGATGGGCATCCACACAAGCACTCCCCTCTGTTTAAGCACCTGTGGGCAACCCACTCTCTGTTCCATAGTAGTCAATAAAGCTGTTATTGTTTAATGGTAAGTTCTATTTTTATCTCTCATTTTTGTTTTTATATTAAAACACAAACACAAAACTTGAAACAGCAAAAATACTAATGAAAAATAATAATACACTCTTCTCCATTCCCAAAGCAACCACTTTTTAAGTATTTTGGATCTTATCTTGCTATTTACCTTCATATTTTCAAATATTATGCTATGCTGCTATATTTTTATTTTTTAAATTGAAATATTTATTTTCTGGATTTTGTTTTGTTTTGTTTCTTGGTAGGTTCCCCCTCTCTGATCACCCCAGTTTCCATTTTTACATTACAGGTAGTTCCTAGTTTATGACTATCTGAGTTTATAATGAACTACACGTATAACCATCTTTTTTTTAAATACATCTTACCACTAATAATACATAGTACATACATTGTTGCAGGACATAATTTTCTGATGTTATCATTCTCAGATGCTTATTCACATTTATTCAATGTTATGATTTATAAAGATACTGACAATAAAAGTAACAACAATACAAAAAAGGTACTCGATTTATGTCTAAACAGATTTATGATAAAGTTATCAAAACAGAACCCCATTGTAAATTGGGGACTACCTGTATCTGGTTAAATAAAAAACTATTTATGAAACATACTTTGTAAGTCCCAAATACGATTGGAGCTATAAGTCATAAATCACAATAAAATCTAAATAGACTGCTACCCACAAGAGTCTTTGAGAATGAAAAATAATGAATAACCAGTAACCCTTCTTTTCATAAAAATAAGCTGTATCTATATTTATTCTGGTGTGGCGCTGTGGGCTAATGCGTCAAACTGCAAAGTTGATTGAACTACAAGGTCTGTGGTTCAAGCTCACCAGTTGCTCCTTGGAAACCCTATACAGGGTCGCTGTGGGTCGGAATCGGCTCGACGGCACTTAACAGCAACAATAACAATATTTATTCTGCACTTGAAGTCTGGAAATAGAGTTTCTAACAAGTTTGTTCATTGAACGGGAAAGTGCTCTCCTTCAAGAGTTGATTTTTTTACTGCCCCAGAACTATAATCCATAACCTAAGACCATGTTTAGTTTAGGAAATATGTTTTTAGAAATGTCACAGAGAGTTGTGTTTGTTCACAGAGTTTGATTTTGTCACCAATTTCTAATAATTAGCTCATGTACTGTGACCTCATTGATCTTTTTATAATTAACCTAACTACATGGATTATCTTGTAAATCAAGAAAGTATTTGTAAGTCTTCATCACTGTAAGAATCTTTTTTTATCAAGAAAAGTACATTAGTGATTCGTACAGATTCATTCTAAAGTACAACATGTATCAATGGCTCTTACAGATTCATTCTCTAACATAACACAAAATCTCATTCATATGTACAATATATCCCATTGTTCTCATGTACACATTTCTTTTCTTTCTGATGGTAATAGCTACCATACTATTTTACTTGCTTTGCTTTCTATGTTGTTGTTGTTGTTACGTGCCATCTATGTATGCACTGGCTAATTTGTTGTAAAATGCCTGCCAGATGTGTCAAATACCTATTAATATTACTTTTCAAATAAATATCCAGTCAGGCGAACCTGTAAGTTTACCGGCTGCTGCCACTTCCCGCAATGGGGTCTCTACTCTGCTATGGCTAGCTGTGATGCTGAATGGCCCACTGCCAGTGGTCATCCTGGGACCTTCCTTTGGGGTTTTCTTATTGGACCCTACTCTCTCATTTCCTCGAGGAACTTCCCAAATTTTTCTTAAGTCCTGTAAATTCCAAAAAGGGTTATGCCATCCTCACATCTGCTCAATGTTTTGGGACTAAGCTTGTTGTTGTTGTTGTTAAGTGCCGTCGACCCATAGCGACCCTGTACAGGGTTTCCGAGGGTGTAAATCTTTACAGGAGTAGAAAACCTCATCTTTCTCCTGCAGAGCGGCTGGTAGTTTTGAACCGCTGACCTTAAGGTTCACAGCCCGATTCGTAGCCACTACGCTACCAGAGCTGCTTACAACAATAAATAGCAGGTCAAATTATGCTAATAAGTTAAAAATCTGTATTTCCTCTGAATTTTAAAAACATTACTTCACTCTTACAGTTATTATTATGAAGTCCCAAAGCTACAGTGATTGCTGATTCTTTGTACGCTGTTGTTGTTGCTAAGTGCCATAGAGCCAATTGGTCTGGACACACAGCGACCCTGTATAGGGTTTTTGGGGAGACACTGGTGGGTATGAATTGTCGACCCTGTGGTTAGTAATCTAGCACTTACCCTATAGTACCATAACAGGAGTCTGATGCTTTGTATGCATACTACTTTTTCCCCCCTCGGGAAGCTTAGAGATTCTTTTGATTCCCTAGTATTATGCAATTCCATTGTTATATGCCCTGGTGTGGAACTATTATATACTCATTACATAGTATAATATACATAGACACAAGGGGGCTTCAAGAAGTTCATGGAAAAATGTAACCAAAAAATGGATTTCCCCCACGAACTTTTTGTAAGCCCTCTTGTGTGCATATATTTAACTTGCAGATATTTAACGTGTGTGTATTTAACTTGTATTTAACTTCAGGCCACTTCACTATGAAAAGTCATGCTCTCAAGGTCCAGGATGGGGTCCTGGTGTGGTGCTGTGGTTTAATGTGCCAGACTGCAAAGCCATTTGAAATGCAAGGTCGGCTGTTCAAGCTCACCAGCTGCTCCTCAGAAACCCTATACAGGGTCGCTATGGGTCAGAATTGACTTGACGGCACTTAACAACAACAACAAGGTCCAAGATATTATCTTGTGAAATTATTATCACTTAAAAATGTCCACCCTTTGTTCTTTCTCTTTCTGCAACATGTATTATTCAACTATAAGACCTTCATGATCAATTCTTTAATTTTTATACTATTCTTCTCTCCTAATAGTCCTCTCTTTGTTTGTCTTTCCTACTAGTGTTATTTTCTTGATGTATGGGAAAACATCTTCATTTAAATTTCTAGGGATATCAAATACTAATTTTCAAAAAAATTTGTTTTCTTCATCTTCCAATAATAGTTAGCTTTCCTCCAAGTTTACTTGTTTGTCATTTCTTTTCATTTCCCTTCAGTCACATTGGAAGGTTCCCTCTAAATTTCCATGTCATACTAAAGAGTAAGGCACTAAAGGAAACACTTGGGACATATGTCAGAGCTAGTCAACTGGTATGTTCATTGTTGGGTTATCTAATCATATGCAACCTTGTTCATGAGGGAATGTCACTATTAGTTTGTTGGATTTCTACCAAATGCTGTTATTTTCCAAACTGGGCCTTCTGGTGTTAAGTCTAGTTCAGAATACCTAAAGCAACTTTATCCAATTTAACTTTCTGCAGTGATGGAAATGTTCTATATCCAGGCTATCCAATATGGTAGTCATTAGCCACATGTGGTTACTGCCTACTGTCCTGAGCAGCACTGGATAAGAGATTACGTCTCTAGTCTCCACAGAGATTTGTTTTGGCAGATATGTAAGAGGGGACTGCCTGACTACATAGGATAGGTAAAGAGATGAATAGACAACGCACACAGAATCTCAAAATAAGATCAAAGTTAATTAATAAAATATAACCTTTAGGAATTTAATGTTAATATCTATTAATTGTATGTAGTATTAATATTTGTTATTAATATCAACATATATGAAGTAAAATCAAGGTAGAAATGCCAATGCATGGGCATTTAGGAAGATTAAGAAGAGCAAGAATTTTATTCTATATTACCACAAATTTTTTTCATTAATGGTATTATTTTAATTATGACTTCAAAATCCCATGTATTAGTAAGTCTAACAAACTGATATAACACTGATTTCAATAAAGCAACTTTTAAAGCCTCTGGTTTTGCTCACTCCAATATAGTTATATTCTAGTTACTTACTCTGTCTCCAGGCTTAAGAAGTGGTTCATTCTTACTAGTCAGTTTATTAAGTAGAGTATAAGCTAGTTTTAAACTCCGACTCCACAGTTTGCCTAGAATAAAATAAAAATACTAAGCACAGTAAAATTTAAGAAACTAATAATCAACATTTTAATGTAGCAAACATAAGTACTTCATAACATACCATTACTGTACTACTGCAAGTTTAGGTCGTTTCCAATGGATAACTTTTTAGCACAATGCTGTAATGAACATCATGGTTCTCTCATAAAAACTGCTAACAGGCTCATTTTTCTTATAAAAATCAAACAGAATTTCATTATAGAAACTTTAGAATATAGAAAATAAGTATTCTTTTAGTATGTGTATATATACATATGTATAAGTTTATGTGTATATATACATATGTATAAGGAGCTCTGGTAGCATAGTGGTTACGAATCGGGCTGCGAACCTTAAGGTCAGCGGTTCGAAACTACCAGCCGCTCCGTGGGAGAAAGATGAGGCTTTCTACTCCCATAAAGATTTACACCCTCGGAAACCCTGTACAGGGTCGCTATGGGTCGGACCCGACTCGATGGCACTTAACAACAACAACAATATATATATATATATATATATATATATATATATATGTAATTGCCAAGAAATGGGATCCTAATTTACCCCTTTTTCACTTAACACTACAATGTAAATGCATTTTCACGTCATTAAACATGCCTCAATGACATTGTTTAAAACAGCAACATGTAACTCATATTTATAACAATGAGGTCATGTCTACAACTCTGCTGGGAGATGTCAAATAACCTTCCTAGAGCCACTGGCTGCTGGATAGGTACACATGGAACCTGACCTGACCAGGCTCTTAGCCTTAAGTCATCACCTTTCCTCTCATGACAAGCAGCTCTATGCAGCATGCCTACCCCTGGTGGTTGGTGGTTATGTACCCTGGAGTCGGTTTCGACTCATAGTGACCCTGTACAGGGTTTCTGAGGCTGGAAATCTTTATGGGAGCAGAAAGCCTCATCTTTATCCCGTAGAACAGCTGGTAGCTTCAAACTGCTGACCTTGCAGTTTGCAGCCTGATTCATAACCACTACCCTGGTAGTCTCCAAAAACAAAGGAGAGCTTCACTGATGAAAAAAAGAAGACAAGACAAAAACTAAAGAGAATTGAGGATGTCTGGGAAGATATACAGAGGCAGGGGAAACAATGGAGGAGGCAGAGAATGATTTGAGCTCACTCCCAACATCCAAAGCAGCCATAACAACATTTACCCTCTGCAGTAAATCCGAGAAGCAACGCAACAGTCATCACTGAATCCATCTCAAACTCCTATGGCACAGCTACATGAACTGCAAACAGCCATGCCCCAAGAAAGGATGTTAAATTTCACTGCAAGTAATATTAAACTCAAGTGCTACACTGTGAAATAAGTGAACTGTAGAATCACAGAAATAAGCGAGAAAAAAAAAATCAGCGTTAAGCTCCTTAAGATGGATTTAAAATGTTAGTAATTGTGATACATAAAGATTTCCAAACTTAATCCAGCATTAAAAAAAGAAAAGCACTCTGACCAGGTCAGTTTTACCCCATGAATGCACAAAAGTTTAACAGAAGGTCAATATAATTTGCCTCATTTATAAATTAAATGTAAAAAATAAAACAAACATCTCCTCAACAGACAGAAGCAAAACAAACCAACATAACAATTATTTGTAATTTTTTAAAATCTGTCTTAAATATGAAATGAATCAAAACTTTCTTAATGTACATGATAAACACAGCTTTAAATTCCCTTGAGGAAAAATGGTCAGATATTTAAAGCTTTCCCTCTGAGGGTAGAATCAAATCAAACACTTCCTTTCAACATTTTATTTAAAAGCCCAAACCGATTAATAAGGCAAAGAATGAACAAAATAAACTGGAAATAAAATGATCATTGTTTGTCGATGGCATGATTATACATAACAAAAATCCAAAAGAATCTTCTATAATTGAATTTAGCAAGGCTGCTAGATACAATGTCAATATACAGAGACAATCTGATTTCTACATACCAAAAATTAACAGCAAATAAAACTTTTAATCGGTGTTGTTGGGTTCCATCACATTGTTTCCTACTCATAGTGACTTTATTTATAAGTACACAGAATGAAACAACTTCCTGGTCCTGCGACATCCTCACAATATGTTTGAGCCTACTGTTACTGCCACTGTATCAATCCATCTTGTTGGAGGTCTTTTCCTTTTTGGAGTTCTTTTTCTTTTTGGTTGACCCTTACCTTTACCAACCATGATGTCCTTTTCCAGGGACAGGTCCCTCCTGACAACATATTCAAAGTATGAGAGATGAAATGTCGCCATCCTTCCCTTCTAAAAAGTATCTGCCTGTACTTCTTTCAGATTTATTTGTTCTTCTGGTAGCCCATATCTGGTACTTTCAATATCCTTTGCCAACAACAATAATTAAAATATATCAATTATTCTACAAACGTTCTTATTCATTGTTCAACTTTCACATGCATATGAGGCTATTGAAAATACCATGGCTTAAGTCAGGCACACCTTAGTCATCAAACTGACATCTTTGCTCTTGAATACTTTAAAAAGGTCTTTTGCAGCAGATTTGCCTAATGCAAAAAATTGTTTGATGGAAGGGACTGCCACTTTGATTAGTTATGATTGTAGATCCAAGCAAATGAAACATTTGATACTTTAATATTTTCTCCATTTATCATAACGTTGTTTACTGGTCCAGTTGTGAGGATTTTCATTTTCTTTACACTAAGGTGTAGTCCATACTGAAAGCTGTAGTCATTGATCTTCATCAGTATTTCAAGTCTTCTTTGCTTCCAGCAAACAAGGTTATGTCATCTCTACATCTCAGGCTTTTAATGACGCTTCCTTCAAATCCTGAAACTACATTCTTCTTCAAATAATCCAGCTATTTGCATTATTTGCTCATTATAGTATGCAGATTGAATAAGTATGGTGAAAGGATACAACCCTGGCACACATCTTTCCTGATTTTAAATCACTAAGTATCCCTTTGTTCTGTTCTAATGACTGCCTCTTGGTCTATATACAGGTTCCTCATGAGTACAATTAAAGGTTCTTTGCAATGTTATCCATAGTTTGTTATGATCCATTAAGTCAAATTCCTTTGCACAGTCAATAAAGCACAAATAAACATCTTTCTGGTATTCTCTGCTTTCAGCCAAGATCAATCTGATGTCAGCAATGATATCCCTAGTTCTATGTCCTCTTGTGGAGTCCTGGTATAGTGCTGTGGTTCAAACTGCAAAGCTGTTTGAACTGCAAGGTCGGCGGTTCAAGGTCACCAGCTGCTCCTTGGAACCCTATACAGGGTTGTTATGGGTTGGAGTTGACTTGACAGTACTTAACAACAACAACAACAACGTCCTTTTGTGTATCTGGCTTGCATTTCTGATACTCCTTGTCAATGTACTGCTGCAATAGTTTTTTAATTACCTTCAGCAAAATCTTACTGCATGTGTTATTACTGATGTTGTTCAATGGTTTTCACGTTCTTTGGAATGGGCACAAACATGGATCTCTTCCAAGTTTCTTGGCATAGACAAGTACTCCAGTATAGAATCAGTTGGTTGAAACATTTCAACTTATCAATATCTGGAGCTTTGTTTTTTTT